TAAACCCTAAACCCTAAACCCTAAACCCTAAACCCTAAATCCTAAACCCTAAACCCTAAGCCTCACTTCCTCTAAAAAGTACTTTAGCAACAAATCTGCGAATTTCTGACAGTCGTCTCGGCCCCTCAAATCGCCAACAACCATTGGCACGATTTTCACATCCCTGCAGTCGCAAACCCTAAACCCTAAACCCTAAACCCTAAACCCTAAACCCTACACACTGGCAGCACGTGGCTTCTCTGCCTTGTCGCAGATTTCGAGCTACCTGAGCCCTAAACCCCAGACCCTAAACCCTAAAGCCTAGCACTGATTTCAAAGCACAGCTCCAACGCCCAAACCCTAAACACTAAACCCTAAACCCTAAACCCTAGCTCACTCTTTAAAAACATGCCTCAAAAAAGGCAGCATCAACTCTATGCTGTGTTCTTCTTCGTCTTCAGAAAATGACAACTCAGCAAAAGCCCCGGTGAGCCTGAGGGCCTGAATGGCTGCGCAAACACTCCAGCGCGAGACCCAAACCCTAAACCCTAATTTAGGGTTTGGGGTTTGCAACTAGCCCTACCCTCTGAGTCCAATGGCAAGTCCCCCAAAGGAGTCAAATATGAATTGCATTTGTCCGCAGGAAGAGCCACTCCTGGAAAGTACTTGTAGTGAGAAGGCCCCAGCAAAAAGACCCGCGAGCTGCAGCCGCAAACCCTAAACCCTAAACCCTAAACCCTAAACCCTAAACACTACTCTAAACAATGGGCTGCAGGAAACCAGGGAGCTACTCGGCCGCACTCTCCAAAAGCCCTACGCCAAATATGTAAAAACCGACCACCATGAATGAACCAACCTCTAGGGTTTAGGGTTTAGGGTTTAGGGTTTAGGGTTTAGGGTTTACTACTGGGATGGGTCAATTTGCTTCCAAGCACAAGCTGCCGTTGAGCCACTAAACCGGAGGCCCGCGTGGCTGAGAAGTAAAGCACCAGAACCCAAACCCTAAACCCTAAACCCTAAACCCTAAACCCTAAACCCTAGTTCTTGAAACTCACTTGAATGCATGGGTTCAAAACAGCTGCCAGGAGTTGTGCTTAACAAGCAAGCCTCAACCCTAAACCCTAAACCCTAAACCCTTATCAGCGAGGTCCCTAATCAAACTTGCAAACCCTAATCGTACACTCCAAACCCTAAACCCTAAACCCTAAATCTTAAACCCTAAACCCTAAACCCTACTTACGGGCAAATGAGTGCCTTTACACGCCCGTTGCACACCTTTGTAGATCTCTGCAGCCATCGCCGGATTTGCCCAGACAGCTTGCTGCCTGCAGCCGCACTCCAAACCCTAAACCCTAAACCCTAAACCCTAAACCCTGGACCAAAAACGTCAAACGCGAAGTCGTAAACACTCGACAGTATGGTCTAGGGCCTCAGCCCTTAACACAGCCCTTAACCGCAGAGAACGCAAAAACAATTACAAAAAGGAGCCCGAGTCGAGGGTTTAGGGTTTAGGGTTTGGGATGTAGGGTTTAGGGTTTAGGGCTTAGGGTTTGAGCCTTACTGTCAGCATCATACCACGTTCCAGCGTGAGTAGCTCTCCTCTGCCTTTGGTGGCCTTGCGCAGCCTCCATAGCCGCAAATTGGGGTTTACGCTAGGGTTTAGGGTTTAGGGTTTAGGGTTTGGGGCTTCGCTGGGGGCCCACAACAACCTAGGGTTTGTTATTTGGCAGCTAAAGTGTCATTTGAGGACTCAAGAAAGCTGGAAGCTGCAGCGGGGGTTTTCTAGGTCTTGAGTTTCGGGTGTATGTACACCTGAAAATAAAGCAGTTCTCGGGAAACCGGGAACAAAAAGGGGCATTATGAGGGTTTGTTTTGCAGAAAATGAGTCAATTAAGACAACAATAAGCACAATACGTGGAGAAGCATGCAAAAGCAGCAGCAGCAGCTGCTGCTGCTGCTGCTGCTGCTGCTGCTGTTGAAACACCTGTCGGAGGCTCTCGCGCAGTGTCTTTCAGCGTTCGGCTTGAAAAAAACCCACTTTTGTGGTTTTGTTTCACCTTTTATTTGCATTTAAATTAATTTATTTATTTTTATTTTATTTTTATTTATTTTTACTTGTTTTCATTTCATTTCGTTTCGAAGTAGACCCGCAGACCGCCGCAAACCACAGACTCAACCGCCCCTGAGACGCCCTGCACACGGCCCTAAACCCTAAACCCTAAACCCTAAACCCTAAACCCTAAACCCTGAAACCTAGACAGAAATTAAACCCCCCTAAACGCTAACTCCAGCAAAAAAGACAGACACTAAACCCTAGACCCCAAACACGAGGCGGAAGCCCGAAGACCTAAACCCTGAACCCCAGTTGTGTGAGCCCTGTATGACTCCTAAACCTGTAAACCCTAAACCCTAAACCCTAAACCCTAAACCCTAGACACTAAAGGGACGCCATCGAACAGCTCCTGCTCACTCCAAACCCTAGCTTTTGGCCCTAACCCCAAAACCCTAGCCTCGAGCCTTAAACCCTGAACAGCATGATTGAGGCCCCAGACCCTAAACCCTAAACCCTAAACCCTAAACCCTAGGCCCGTAAAGACCAAAACGCTTTCGCACTGAGTTCTTGCACGGTTCCGCGTGCAGCAAAAAGGCGGGGAGATACTGAATCGGTGACTGGCTAGCTAGCCAGCCAGCTAGCTAGCTAGCCAGATAGCTAGCCAGCCAGATTGCTAGCTAGCCCGCTAGCTAGCTAGCCAGACAGCTAGCTAGCCAGATATCTAGCTAGCCAGCTAGCTAGCCAGTCTCCAGTTCGCCGGACAGCTAGCCAGTAGAACGCCCAGCTAGCCACCCCCAAGTTGAGCCAGCAGAGCTCCTCCTCGCACAGCTAGCTGGCTAGCCAGCTAGCTAGCTAGCTAGCTGGTCAGCTAGCTAGCCAGCTAGTTCGCTAGCTAGCTAGCCATT